CAGAGAAGTCATTTTTTCCATGTAAGACCTAGAAGTTAAAAGCATCATTGTTAGTAAAACCTACTCTCCAAGAAAGGCAAATCATTTAATCTCATACTGACTGCCTTAAAGAAATTTCTACTGAATCATACAACCAATGAAATGTCATGAAATATTAAGAAAGTGTTGATGCATTACTAGATTTAGGTCATTGACTCCTCACCTTTAGCTCCAGCTGTTGCGTTTAGCAGCTATGTCTTCAGTTTATATTTGATCTCCAGGTGAGCCAGAACTCCTATTTTCAGATATTTTCCCAGGTCTGACGTCCTATAGTCTTGATTGTTATCCCATCAGTTAACAGTCTGCTATAGTCCAGAAGGTTACAGTGTGTCGACTTTCTCTCTGTTTTTATTTCTTTGACCACACTCAGTTTTAGTCACGCTCTCTTTCCGTCTTTCTCCTGTTAGCTTTCAGTGTCAAGGCTCCGCTTGTTACCCCATGAGCTGACAGGTTCAGAGGTCAAAGGCCAGTGGTCTTGTAGGGTTCATAACCCTAGGACTACATGGTGCAGCATTATCCCAGATGGGGTTTAAATGTGTTGGGCGTGGCAGTAGTCACCACTTCGCCTCACAAACTCCATCAACCAGCAATTCTGAAATACAAAATATATTAAAAGTCAGCTTCCACTGAAATGACACTGATCGTGGTCCTTTTAGTAATTTAGCACATATTCAGTTTTTTGCAGTTCCATATAACCCAGTTATATTATGCTGCCATATATACTAATCAAACTATTACATGTGCATCACAGTTACACCCAATTACACTGGATCTAAAAGACACATATAAGCATTCACACATATTATAAATATTCTTACTCATACAGTATGATAATACAGACCTTCTATTAGACAGAGGGGATAAAACACCTTTTGATTAGTTAGTGGATGACACATTAAGAACAGACACACCAATTAAATACACAGGGTGTGTATTTATTAAGATATAAGAAACACTAAAGATAATCGTGGAGCATTAGAATGAAAATGAATGAAAAATGTGGGAGTAGTTACTAGTTACTACTAGTCCCTGTAAAAACTTAATTCGTTAATGTTAAATTAACAACAAGATCAAGGTTGCCATATACTAAGATCACAACTCAATTACATGTTCAACGACACTAATACTTTCAAGAAACATATAATTCAACTTTATTTAAGAAGACATACCAACATAGATATTGTTTGATGATGATAATGACATTTGTACAATATCAACAAAATTGAGCAGAAATTCTCATATAAAGTGATGCTCTGATTAATCTAGCCTAGGTGTTTTTTGTTGTGGCTCAGCACGAAAAAAAGACAAGATAAAAATATTTTGTGAAACTGTGGAGAATCTGAAGTAACTTGCTTTGATTTATTCTGAACCTTAACTCCACATGCATATCAGTTTAATATATTTTCAGGAAAAAAGGCTCTGTTCAGCAGTTCAGCACATACAGAGTTATGAAAGCATGTAGGATGAATACTGCTTGTTAGTTATAATGCGGTTTCTCTAAAGTACAGATATAAGTTGTGTTAGGCTCTTCTTAATGTATGATTCAAAACAAAGCACTGAATCATCTTAATAATATTTCTCATAAAAATGCAGCATACTTTTAGCTTTCCAAATAATTCTACCTACCACTCAAACAAGGCAATCAAATAAACAACAAAGGAAGGTCCAGAGGTAATCTCTGGTCACCTTTTGGCCTCTGCACTGACAACACACACAGACACACACACATAATCACTCACAGACTTACACACTCACTCTTCCAGAAGAGGGTAGTCAGTTCCAAGTTGTTGACAATCTATATTTAGGATTTTATCCTGTGTCACCGCTAATCGGGATAGAGGTCGCTTATTTTCCACTGAGCTGGTTAAAAGTGAACATTCATTTCACTTGAAGCCTTGTGCGACCCGAGGGCACCAAAGTTGCAACGGAGACACAGGATAAAAGCTAATTTGCAAAGCAGCATAGCTGGCACTGTCACAGACACTCTGTGAGTACACAGAAACCTGTTTTAAGGCATCTAAACTTAACTAAAAGGTCAACTGTTCACAATTTTAGCAAACATCTGAAGTAGAATGATTTCATATGAGGGTAACATACAGAAACAGACAGAAGTAATTCCAGTTAAACCTTAAAGCCAATTGGCACTTTTACCTTAGAGTGTAGTTTGGTTTGTAAAAATAGGCATGTCTCCAGACTGGCTGCCTAGCTGTTTCACTGTCACATGGTGGATCAGGACACAGAGAGGCTAAAATGGATCTCAGTATTATTTTAGAGCCACCTTATGGTTACTTCTTCACAAGGTCTGAAATGTAAAGCTGAATGAAACGGATAGTAGTGGTCTTTAAACAGATTAGATTACACATTCGTTTACTGACTTCCAGTTAGCTGATAAGAGCATCAGATTCAATCACTCAAATCACTCAGAAAAAGAAGTTGTGCTAAATAAATACGTTTTTACTTATTTTCTGGAAGCTTAACTTCCCTCTTACCTCAGAGGACAGCTTGTCTGCTGAACAGGGGAAATCCACAGGGCTCTGACTGGCAGTTACACCAAAGTCCTGCAGAAGCAGCAGCAGCAGTTCTACAACAGTTTGAGTGCTGACATACAGCCAGCTGACTGCCTGTTATAGTAAACCCCTGTAGACTCTAAATACCTGCAGCTGTATTTTTAGCTCCATCTGTACTAGTGTGTGATTCTATGACACATCAGATTTTTGTAGGAACAACAGTACCCTCCTGCTTTACCCTCTCTCACTGTCTGTGGCAGCAATACAGCACGGATAAAAATGTTTATGGAGATTTTCTATAATTCTCTGCATCACGTATCCAGAATGCAGGGTGTTGCACTTCTGGCTTTGTGACAGCATTGGGAAACACTATATAATTATCCTATTTATATAGCAACAAAACAAATGCAGAGTGCTTTAGTTCTTACCGCTTAGCTTTTCAGCGTCATCTCCAAACACTGGCTAAACACCAGTTCTTCTGCCTTCTTGTTACAGTAAAACAACACCTCTTTCAGTCTTTGGTCCTGGTAGTCAAGCAGGAAGGAGCAGCAGCAGAAGGTTAAATGTTTCCTTGATAACCTTTAGCTCTGCCCCACTATAACACTAAACTATCCACCTCGTGTCCCTTCTGGCCTCCTCAACTGCGACGTACTGAATGTGCCAGCTCGTAGATCCACCTTGGTATAACGGTGCAGTGTGTGTTGGGCTTAGGATCTGCTATGAGCTGGTCTAATCAGGCTGAGCAGTCATCTGACCCTGACAGCCCTGTCACCAGCAGAACGCACTACAGTTAATGCTCTTAGAGCCACAGGAGAAGAGCCTCACTCCCCCTCCTCCAGCTCTTCCACTTCTTCATCCACTCTACTCCTTTCTCTCCCACTCGCCTGGAAGGCACTGGGTGAGAGTTCAGCTCCTAACTTTTCAATGTGGCTGAAGATTACTTGTTTCAACCAGGGAAGTCCATGGTCACAGTTTTTTCACATCATGCTCCTAAAAGAAAAATAAAACGAGTGGTCTCATGAATATTTGCTGCAGTGTCACATCTGTCTGGACTTTTTCTTGTTCTCCCTCCCTTCATCGACCCCCCGCCTTCGCCTCCCTGAACCATCTAAAAATAGACGATCTTTTAAGCTACCAGACAGATTGGCCAAGTCAACCTGTGGATCCCATTTGTAGGAATTAACTTTCTCATTGGGGTTACAATAGTCCAAGAATTGTTTTCTTGCAGCCAGCCTACAGTGTGAAGTCAGCACATCACTGTGTTTGCCCAGAAAAAATACACAAAAAAAAGAGAAAAAATTGATAATTGTGTTTACAAGGTGTAGGATGTGAGTCCAAAGAGTCACAAGGCAGTCACAGGTCCATACTTTTTAAAAGTACAGGGTGGGCCATTTATATGGATACACCGTAATAAAATGGGAATTGTTGGTGATATTAAAGTCCTGCTTGTGGCACATTAGTATATGTGAGGGGGCAAACTCCTCAAGATGGGTGGTGACCATGGTGGCCATTTAGAAGTCGGCCATCTTGGATACAACTTTTGTTTTTTCAATAGGAAGAGGGCCATGTGACACATCAAACTTATTGGTAATGTCACAAGAAAAACAATGGTGTGCTTGGTTTCAACGTAACTTTATTCTTTCATGAGTTATTTACAAGTTCCTCTTTGTTCACAGCCATTGACATGTCGAAGAGGTTAACACGTGAGGAGCGAATCGAAATTGTGTTGATATCTGGTGAACGCAGTAGCCGGGTCATTGCAGCAGACTTCAATGCAAGACACCCTACGAGACCACCCATCTCCCATGCTACAGTTAGCAAACTGCTTGCTAAGTTTCGTGAAACTGGTTCAGTGTTGGATTTGCCAAAATGTGGACGCAAGAAAACTGTCACTAATGAAGAAACATCAGTGGCTGTCTTAGCTTCATTCAGCAAGAGCCCACAGCCTCACCGCATGTCACTGGAGAGTAGCGATGGACCGATCCGATATTACGTATCGGTCCGATACTGACGAAAATTACTGGATCGGATATCGGAGAGAAATAAAAAATGTAATCCGATCCATTAAATATCAAAAAAGCACCTCACAAAACTTGCGACATGGCATAACTCGGCTCATAACCATAGCATGTTGCAGCAGTATGCCTCAGGTGATAGAGCGGCTGTGTGTATTTGTAGCCTTGCTACCATTTCATCTCCCAGGAAGTTATCCCAGAGAGAAGTAAAGCAAGTGTGTAAGTTTATCTCTGAATGTTTGTAAAGCATTCCCGCCTTAAGCTTAACAACCGACATATGAAGCAACTGCCTCTTCTCTCTCTCTCTCCTGCTGCTACTTCAATTGTGAAACTGATTAATGATCAGCTGATCGGCTTTTCTGTCACGAGTCCGTCTCTCTTCTTTATTTTTGGTCCACTTTGCACCATAAAGAGGAAACCAACGGCTGAACAACAGCAGCACGTTTAAGCTTGATAAGCTGTTGTTAGAATTTATTTAATATTACTTTCTACACCAGGATCCTTTTCTATGCAGCTGACAGCTGGTAACTGTGCAGGGGCGGATCTAGCAAAGTTTAGCCAGGGGGGCCGATTGGGCATTAACAGGGAAAAGGGGGCACAAAGACATACTTTTCTTTCTTATTCTCATTTAAAATGTGTAGCTTTTAATAAATACAACAGAATCTTACAACCAAAGTGGCATTTTATTTAACACTGCATCGAATTAAAGTTGATTACATCAATTAAGCATCATGAGGTGGAGGGTGGGGGGTGGTTCCTTATTTTTATTTTTTTATTTTTTTCTGGGAGTTTTAGAGCCCTATTAGTTAGGTTGCTTACTCTTTAAAATACCAGAATAGGGAGGATGGAGTAGGTTTAAGTTTATTAGATTGATCAGTATTGCTGAACTATTTAATATTTTGGGTGGAGTGTATTTTTTGCATACAGGTATAACAGAATAGCTTTAGTGG